CGTTGCATACCATGACGGCACTCTTCTTAACGTTGGCAGACAATCTCCACCTCTCAGCAAACTTGTTCGCCGCGTCAATTTGCAGTTGCAGCCCCTCAGGGGTATCCGACATACCGACAAAAATCATCTGCAAACAGCATTCCTGAAACCGACGCCCTAGATCCTGTATTTGGACAGTTGTTCCCACATGCCTTTGNCAGCGTGCAACCTTGTGGGACCCCCTGCTCAATGTCGAAGAATTTTGACAGTTCTCCGTCTAGCATGACCGCGCTTTTCGTACACTCTGTCATCTTCTTCAGCACTCTCCACATTTTCCCCTTGATCCCGTATTTGGACAGTTGTTTCCACAACCCATTTCTCCATACGGTGTCGTATGCCTTTTTCACGTCCAGGGAGAAGCAGTACGTCGGCTTTCCCGCCCTCTTTCTACCTTGGCTGATTTTACCTACCGTGAACACGTGGTCTACGCACCCCCTCTTCTTGCGGAAACCTGCCTGGCCCTCACTAATGCTATGTTCCTTCTCCAATACTCCCACTATCCTATCGTTCAGCAGCTTACAGAACACTTTTCCTACTGTGTTCAACAGTGTGATCCCCCTGTAGTTTCCTGGGTCAGTCTTGTCTCCTTTCTTAAACAAGTTCACAACCACTTCTTCCCTCAATCTGCTTGGCGTATACTCGTTTTGCCACACCCAATTGTACAGCAGTACCATCAGCTGGATCATCCCCTTCCCCCCAAACTTCATGAACTCGTTGACTATCCCATCCACTCCTGCTGCTTTGTGGCACCTTNCGATGTTTCTTCTTTTTGGGCCCATGCGTCCACCTCCTTCTTAAACACTTGGTCAAAAGCTTCACTATTCGAGGGCACTCCAAGTCTCTTGTAGTGTCCTGCTAGAACTTCCCTTTTTCCCTTCCCACTGCTGACTAATCCACCGTTCACACCTCGCAAAGTTGCGACCCCTGTATCCCCCCCTTGCGCGGTCTTTTTTACCATTCCACTAATCCCTTCCCACATCTGCTTGACGTTTCCCTCCAGGCCTCCGTTGGCCTTCTGCACTACTTCGTCCCAAATACACTTTTTCTTCTTTTTCACTAGTCCCTTCACCTGTTTTCTCTTGGCCCTGTACTTTTCCCAACTCTCCTCAGACGCCTCACTCAGGTACTGCTTGAAGACTTCTCTACGTTCCCCTATTTCTTCTTTCAGCTCGTCATCACACCACTTAACCGATACCCCACATTGTACCACCTTCGTTCCCACTACTCTCTCTGCCGTTGCGTTCACTATGGACTCCCACCCTTAAACACCGGGGGAGGCAACTTGTTTTACAACGTCATTGCCAAGCGACGAAAACCCAGCCCCGATGGTAAACACCGGGGGGAAGGACGTGAGGGGGGGCGGTCAAATCGCACTCAGGAACTAATGCATGACGGGCTGGCACGCTTGCCGATGTGTCGTATTGGTACTCCATGTGGACGTAATTGTGCTTCCGATCGAAAGACTCCACTCTTGCCAGAGAGCAGAGAGCTGTCATGGGAAGGTCTCAGGCCATGCCATATCAGCCAACTGGTGAAAAGGGAGTAGCCGTGCTCCCGCGGCGGCGAAGGTTTAGAACCGCACAAAAAAACTCCGGCCCGCCAGACATTCATGTTCAAAGTTCGGTCCACCATATGAAAAAGCAGTGGGCGCAGGTCCCACGTCAGTAACTCTAACCCGGAATACCCGTGGATAAACCCGTCTATTTTCAACGGAAATGACAGAACCAGCGAAAAAAAAAAAGTAAGGTACACCACAGCAAGCAGCCTCCGAGACGCGCAGCAAAAAACGAGCAAAACCCGATCGCCATATACAACAACGTCGAACCTAGGACGCCCCTTGCGGTACGCAGCACCCGTGCAAGATACCGACTGACGTTACGACTGTTAAGGCTGTTCAGGTGTACGCAGCACCTGTGCAAGATACCGACTGATTTCAAGACTTGTCAAGACTCCGAATATATTACCCACGTTTGGTGAGGATCTGGCGCACCGCGAAGAAGGCGGCCGGGATCACCAAGTAGACAAACCAAAGCTGAAAGTCGTCGACGGTTTCATGCGGCGATTTTCCCTCCTGCAGCTCTTTGCAACAACCGCTGCTCCAGCGCGAGGGTGCGACAAGGCGAGAGAATGAATGTGCACGAGGGCGAAACTGTCGGCAGAGGTCAACACAGTAGTGGAGGGATCTGGAGAAACAAAGGTCAATATCGGGTCGAGGGAGGATCCACTTGTTACCACGTCGTATCGTCGCCATTGTCGAGTACAGATTCATCAAGTAAAGATTGGTGTAGGGGCCTCGGCGGAACCACAGCAGAAGAAGTGGCAGCCGTGTCTCTCAACCCAATCTTCGCAGTTTTTGTGAACAGTTGAGTCTTCATACAACATTACCACACCGGCATGCATGTCAAGATACGGATCCGCGCTGCTGCACATACACCGCTGTACATCGTATCACATGATACCATACCAAACCACACATGATTCCGTACCGTACCACATCATACCTTTCGGACTGGATTACACATGACGAGAGGTCGCTCGCCGTACACCACTCTGCTCCAAGGCCGACTGGGAAGCCGTTGATGCCCTCCTTGTTGTTCTGCGGGTCGGCCGATGGGTGGTGAATGACTATGATTGGCTGGGCGGGGGGAGAAAACGCTTGAACTTACTGCATGGCCTTCCTCACAACTCCTGCCGTGGTGAATGTGTGTAGACTACAGCAGTATTGTACAGCAGAGAGCTACGACCGGCAGCTTCTACTGAGTACTTGTACGATACGGAGATCCTCCATGATCCTAGACTACTGTGACTATCCGGAAGATAAACACTCCAGTACAAGTATTTAGTGCCACCTGCTTATGCATCCACATACGTAACCCTGGTGTCCTATCCCCAACACCTTCCGCGAGAGAACCGCTACAGTACAAGCACGGCATACGCCGTCATAACCCCTGACTTTGAATATGTATGCATTTAACACCAGATTTTGCCCTGCCTGGCATACATGTGTGTGTGCTCCCCGGTCTCTCGAAACGAAATACGGCATGAAAAGGTGATGAAATATAATTTTTGAAATGTCACCGCCCGGCGCCCACACCTGTGGCATGATTTGCTAAAGCGGTAGTTAGTTGAACGGCACCGACGGTTGCAGTATGGCACCCCGTACTTTGGCCGAGGTGCCGAGGAGTCTTGTGCTCGTCGTCGGTGGGGGTTTGTAACATCGACTTTACCATGGTACAAAAATGGTTTTAATGCAAGGGTTCTTGACAAGCACCCTGTTCTTCTTCAAGGTATGCCAAGAATTCTGGAATCGGGGACGGCTTTGCCCTTTTTATTTGGCGCCAATTTCTTAGGTAGCAGGGCGGCGCCATAACGACAGCTATCATACGCCTGTCCCGTGAATTCTAAATACATCTCCGTGATAGCTGGAGAGAAGTGCTATCTTCGGCGACTGATGTATTGCTTTCGAGAACCATGTGCACATGTGCACGCGAATGCACCTGCTGCAGTCGCAGTCTAATTAGTGTAAGCCAGAAACATACAACCGAAATGTTCGCACCCCAGCTGTTCCCCTCGTGCCCCGATACTTCACTGCTGTTGATACTACTATAGCGACAAAAATATAGGTGAGGGGGTTGTCTACCAACATCCCTGGGTCAAGACGACCGCACGTAGCCCTGCTGGGCCAATTGCTGCCATGTGTGGCGAAGCAGCACCAGACCGCAGAACATCGTCAACGAAGAAACAGCAGCAACAGCAGCAAGCGGCATGCTTGCGTTTAATGACTGCGTATGTAAGGGCACATCGTGAAATAGGAAAACGAGCTCACCTCGGGTACGAATTGCTCGTACTCGGAAAAGCAGGCCTGCACGAGCGAAACAACGGCTAGCCCAACCACCACGCCGACGAACTCTGGCACCCTCCACCTGCGGATACGGTCGGCCGCAGACACGGCCTCAGCCGAACGCCCCCCTTCGCTACTCCCCATCCCAACCAAGCCGAGCAAGAAGTTGCTGTCCCCGCAGATCGGTGCAGGCTGCCGCTTCGCACCCGCCCCCTTTGCGCCTGTAACGCGAGCCACGGTTAGTCCTAATAATCCAATATCAATGTGTAAACACTTCTGCAACCATGATCGCAGCACTGCTTATCATACGTCACGTCCAATGCCCCCACACTCACAGCAGTTTGAAGCTGTCCAAGCAACTAGATCGCGAACTAGACTCACCCGTAGGTTGGTCGAGAGAGGCCGCCAACCTTCCCACACACCTCCCAATTAGACTCCCACACGCTTCCCAAGCACCACCGCGTCGTCCGCATATGCCATGCACGCATTATATACTGGTACAAATGGAAAAGGTTCGGAGATTTGTGTTCTTGATCGTAGATCGCCAAAAGACCAAGGTAAACGCGGCACAATTTCTCGCATGACCGCTCAGCAGGCCAGGCACTTGCCTCGACGCAGGTAGTGCTCCACTTTTCTCGAATCGTTCCCGTTGTTTTCTCAACAATTGTACACACTCAGCCACTACCAAGCTTTGGGACGAAACTACAAGGTGTGTCAAGAGTCTCGAGATGACGCAGCTGCTTCGATGACAGGGTGGATTTGGTACTTATGTGTGTACATCAGAACAGCAAGCAGTTGCGCGGGGCACCTGCAAATCCACTGCATCTCACACACGTCCCTCCCTCGGTGTCCGCGCCCATTGCACCATGCTTGCAGCAGCATAGATGGCGGGGAGAACTGGCCATCAGCCGCGACCCAGGCAGAAGAAAACTTCGCCCTTGGAGAAAACTCTTGCCATTTTGATTCAGGTGAAGTTGGGCAATATCGTCTGTACTGACGTGCTACAAGTACTTACGGAGGAAGTGCTTGGCCGCACACATGTCTATTGAAACACACCTACATACCCTAGCTGTAGACCACGCACTGCTGTCGTGACTGCGATGGCCGGGACCACTACTATTGGTTTTGAAACTCTTTGATTTGTTGGTGTTGAAACTCGGTGTGGAATGATATACAGAGTGTACCACAGGCTATCACCGACCACTCCCTGCTGCCAACACCGGGTGTCCGCTGACAGAGCATGCGAGGGAACAAGATAGTGGTGGAAATGAAGAACGACGCCGAGATCTCTGGTATCCTGGAAGAGACAGATCGAAACATGAAGTGAGTGCGTGAGCCTCGAACCAGCGACTCGATGTCGATCACAGATGGACACCTTTCGTAAGGCTGAGCAACCATGAATGGCACCATCCGTTGTCGACAGCTTGTAGGGCAACAACGGTTGTTTGGCTGCGTACGGGCTGACGTGCTCGCGCGCTCGACGTACGCCGAGGCAGGATCGACGCATTCTCACGACCGGGAGCAGTTTCCTTTGAGTAGATCAGGAGCGATTGATGATTCACCATGGGTTTGTCTTAATGTCAGTTTACTGCTGTTGTTGCGGTACACATTCATCCACGGTACAGCAAGTCACGAGAGAGAGCACATCAGGTTGAGCTCCTACTCGCATTGTTGCACCACTATTTGTTGCAGCCCCTTTCACTGACGGCGCCTCGCAGCTTCTTCTACTTCCGGCAAGGTTTGATGCCGTTCAGTTGAAGAGCCCCGATGACCGGGCCACACAGAAAAATGCCTGCAGAACGCGAGAAGAACGATGCTGAGACTTCCTGATGGATGGCTGAAAGAAATTGTTGATCTTACGCTGCCCTGCGCGCCTTCTCCAATCCCCTGTGGCCGCGCGAACTCTCGCGTGCTGTACGTCCATGGGCCACACTCGGCATCACAGCTTGTCCATGGTGGACGTCCGCCAGACGAATCCAGATGTGAGCGAAATTGGGCAGCCGAGACCATCGTGCAGCAGCAATCACGCTTGAAGTCTGACGTTGAAGAGCCACAGATTGTCACCCACGGATGCTGCTCCGACGAGAGCTCCGTGCTGCATCCCGTTGTGCCAGATGGTCCCGAAACCCGCCTGTAAGACAACAGACACAGCGGAAAGTCGCACAGATCATTCTGCCCGCTCCCCGTTGCACTATCATGCCAGGCAGAATTCGATTCTAAAAACCTTTGAGGTACCGAGAATCGTCAAGAACAAACAGGCACAATGGGAACGCCCCGCTGATCACTCCCCCCCTCACCAGAAAATAAATTAAGTCATACGCAGCTGTCATCCGAAGTAAGTACAAGATGCCGAACACCCTTAGCAGGATGCAGCGCACCCTTCATGCGGCTCGCCGAATACCTCATGGCGCTTCGCGCTTGGTGATGTGAGAGCCTGGTCCGGTGAGANCGGTGTTTGCCATCGGGATTGGGTTTTCGTCGCTTGGCAACGACGTAAACAAGCCGCCTCCCCCGGTGTTTGCCATCGGGATTGGGTTTTCGTCGCTTGGCAACGACGTTGTAAAACAAGCCAATTCACTTCGTGAACTCGGCAAACAGGTTACCGCTTTTTTTTTTTACCTCCGTTTTTGTTTTTGCGGGAACCATAATGGTGGTGGTCGTGTAGATCATCTTGTGCGGGGTCGAGATACCTCACTCCGCGCAAGGGGGATGATCGCACCACGTTGTGTT